TAAATAATGTAATAAGAGGGAGGCATGTCTTTAAAAATCATGAATTGTGAAAGGTATTTTGTGTCCCAATTGTAGCAGTTTTGTCCAGGTTATTAGGATAAATAGGAACAGATCTGTTACGTTTTGTACTAATGTCAGTGGACATAATAACATCTGGAAAGTTCTTTGATCATAGACACTCGATGAAAATGTGGTTTGATAGAAAGGATAGCTTTCTTTCCTTCCTCCTTGAGTTTTCTGTGTGACCGTAGGGAGATGACGTAGTCTAGCATCTGATGCAAAGCCTTCTCGGGTGTTTGAGCTAATATTGTTGCCCCACTGTGATTGTGAGTGTTGGTGTCTCTGCACCAGGTGACTTGTTAGGTGATCCGAGGCTTGTCCTTGTCTAGCTCTGTCCACAAATCCTACAGATGCCAATTAAGCTGTTAAAAGTGCTATAGTCTAGTTCCTGACTATGTATTTGCAGATTTTTTTTAATATTGAAAGAAATAATGAGTGCTTATAAAGTAGCTTTTTTTTTTTTTTTCTTTTTTTTTGTAATCAGAAACCAGGACAGACTACTGTTGAGTCTCATTACTTGTCTTGGAGTAAGGTATTTAGAATGTGTAGAAGATAGAGGAAGGGGTTGCGATTCTACTGAAGAGATGCCTGGCCTCTCGCACATTTGAACATGAATCTGGATTTTCTGTAGTGTTTCCTCCCCCAGCTCTTTTTAAAAACGACAGAAGGCTTTTGAATTCCTACCAACTTTTGTTCTGGAAACCAATCTGAAGGGACTTTGCGTTAGAGTGTTCTTGTCGAGCCTCACCACGAATCCGGCCCTGTGCTTGGTCTGGGAGCAGATGTTGACATTCTACCCAGCCCCGCGCTCAGGGGCTCCCGGGCTGTATGCCGGGAAGATGTGTTCACGAGCATTCATAACTGGCGTTGATATGCGCAAATGTGATGGGAAAGGCAGAGATGTTGCATTGGTAGAGTTGCGAGGGTGGAAGGAAGAGGGAGACCTCAGGCAAGAGGGGTATTTGAGCAGGACCTGGAAGCTGGAAGGGCTGGAGGTGGGGTTTGGTAGAACCAAGAGGCACCATGCACACCAAATGAACGAGGCCAGATTTTGGAAGGTGGGCGAGTGTGAAGTACCTTCAGATACCAGCACCAAATATCACCCACTTGGCTGGAAGACACCAACACAGGAATCCAGGAGGAGCTCAAGCCGGGATAAGCTACGGAGGCCTTGTCACTTGATTGGTTTCTCTCTTTTTCAAAAGATTTATTTATTTATTTGAAAGGTAGAATGACAGGGAGAGAGAGATTCTCCATTTGCTGGTTCACTCCCCAAATGGCCACAGCCCCAAGCCTAAGCAAGGCAAAAGCTAGAAGCCAGGAATTGCATCCTGGTTTCCCATGTGGGTGGCCGGGGCCCAAGTTTTTGGGCCATCTTCTGCTGCCTTCACAGGCACATTAACAGGGAGCTAGATCAGAAAGAGAGCAGCTAGGACTCAAACCAGCATTCCAGTATGGGATGCCAGCATTGCAATTGGCAGCCTAACCCACAACGCTAGTCCCCCCCCCCCCTTTTTTTTTTTGGTAGAGAGCCCTTGAAGGTGTTCAACTCCCTGTGGTTGGAACATTAGGAATATTTGTCCCTTGGCTGTTTTGAGAGACACAAGGAGGAGGCCAAGACAGCATTTTAGATGAGAAGAACTGAATTTTTGGCTTGGGAAGGTGGCAGGTAGACTGGAGAAGGAAAAAAGGAAAAAGTCATGTGCTAGATTCATGGAATTGGGCTCCATTAGGGGCAGAATGGCAGAAAGCAAGTCTGTGTGTTGATCAACTGAAAATAGATTTGACTGTGGGGAGGCCAAGATGGTCCAGGATTGAGATCCCAGTGAGAGCAAAAAGCTACTTTTGTGGGGATCTCTGTACCCTGGTCCCCAGCACCATGCTCAAGGAGAGCTTGTGGTGGGGTTAAGTAGGGTGGAGTTAGTGCTACACATCAGAGTTTGCCACTGGGACGCACCGTTGGGTGTTAGGACCACTCCCACCTGGGTTTGCATCCTGGCCTGACAGTCCCTGGCTAGGTGATCCTGAGCAGGTTGGTATGGAGCCATTCAGTTGTCTGTTGAATGAAGGATGGCACCCAGGTCTGGGGTGTCATGGTTTTCCTTGTCAACCAAGTGAAGCGTGCACACAAGCCACGAAACCTGGAACCCGGTAGATACCCAAGGTGACGGCTCCTCATGTGTGGGATTGTGGGTGTGAGCCTTGGGCTGGCAGAGAAGGAAGGCTGAGCTATTGGGGTGCAGGGTGGGGGTGGAGGGATCTGGGAGCGAGGCAGCTTAGACCAGGAAGTGGGGGAAGGAGTGGTGAAGGAGAGGGAGGATCAGCTGGCCAGCTGGGAGAGGCAGGAGGGGACTGCGGGAGGTCGTAGTCTTCAGCTGTCCCAGCAAGGAGACTGCTTCAGTATGGAAGGAACCAAATTCCAAGAGGGGGGGAGGTGAGCACTGATGGGGAGGTTGGCCCGCCAGAGAAGTTGCAGGTGGCAGAGCCAGGTTCCCCGTCCCCAGGTTCCCACCGATAAAGGAAAAGATTGTGTGGGCAAAGGAGAGCCAGTGGTCTCAGCAGAGGAAGGGGTGAGAGGCGGACAGTGTGGCTTTTGTGTGCACTCACAAAATGACCCATAGGATAGGACGTGCTGTGGCCCAGGCCATGGCACCACAGAGCTGTCCCTGTGAGCGAACACCTCGGTCTGCAAGGCCCTAGGGGCAGCACTGGTGTGGTGGCGTGTGTGCTGATAAATGAATGACATGCCGTGTATCATGTAGAACAGCTCAATACCAAGACACTGATTCTGGTTAATGCTACAGAGTGCATCACAGCTGACACTAACCAAAGGCCTGCAGTGGGGCGGCAGTGCTTTTGTGTACATTGAGCAACTCATTTAATGCTCCCAGCACTGCTGTGAGGGGTGGGTGTTACTCTGTTTCAGCCGAGGGGCTTGGTGACTCGCCCAGAGTCATGTGGCTGGGAAGTGGGAGAGCCAGGATCAAAGGCCACGCAGTGTAGGTACAGAGCCCACGCTGTTAGCAGCCGTGTGTTGTTGTGTCTGATGGAACAGGAAGGTCCCAGAGAGGGAGCATGAACGCGAGGGAAAGGGCGGTGGCTGCCCATGGAGCAGGACAGCAGAGGGGGGACAGGACAGGGCCAGGAGTGCAGGTGGGCCAGAAGGTCGCCCCACTCGCTCTCCAGGAGAGAAGGGAGAGGGGACCAGGGAAAATGCAGAGAGGGACTTTGCAGGAGAGGGAAGTAGATGATTTAGGTGACGGAGCTGATGGGCTTCTGAAAAGAATCTCCCACTGGTAGTTGATCAGGCCTGTGGTCTGCTTGCAGCAAAGCCTGAGCGAGCAGCGCTGGGGAGGGAGAGTCGCTGCCCTCGCAGGCATCTGAGTTCCGCTCGGTGGAGCTGCGCAGGCAGCACCCTCTGAGGAGAGGCCTGTGTGTGTTTTGGTCAGCTGCCGCTGAGTCCTGTTGACTTTTCCCTCTCATGAAGACATTCCAGATTGAGGGGAGGAAGAGAAATGCCAGCAGAAGGAAGGGCGGGTGGGCATTGTGGGTTGACAGGTGCCGAGGCTCGTGCACCTGCTGCGCAGTTCCTGGGTCAGGAACTATGTGTGCAGGGCTTTCCAGAACTTAGGAGCGTTCCTCAGACCGGACAGAAAGGCTCTTTGTGACGTTTTCTACTTATTTATTTGAAAGGCAGAGGGAGAGATGGAGAGAGACATCTTCCATCTGCTGGTTCACTCCCCAAATGACTACAATGGCCAAGGCTGGACCAGGCCAAAGCCAGGAACCTGGAGCTTCATCCAGGTCTCCCACAGGAGTGCAGGGGCCTAAATATTTGGGCCATCTTCAGCTGCTTTCCAGACACATTAACAGGGAGCCGGATCAGAAATGGAGCAGCTGGGACTTAGACTGGCACTTCTATATCAGTATTGCAGGCGGCAGCTTAACCTACTGCCCATGCTTTCTGTTTTAAGGTTATGATCTGTTTATGTCTTAATATAATAAAAGGGGGGGTGGTGCTGTGGTGTTGTGGGAAAGCTGCCACCTGCAGTGCCGGCATCCCATATGGGCACCAGTTCTAGTCCCAGCTGCTCTTCTTCCAATCCAGCTCTCTGCTATGGCCTGGGAAAGCAGTAGAAGATGGCCTAAGTCCTTGGGCCCCTGCACCCATGTGGGAGATCTGGGAGAAACTCCTGGCTCCTGGCTTGGGATCAGTGCAGCTCCAGCCATTGCGGGCAACTTGGGGAGTGAACCAGTGGATGGAAGACCTCTCTCTCTCTCTCTCTCTCTCTCTCTCTCTCCCTCTCCCTCTCCCTCTCCCTCTCCTCTCTCTCTCCCTCCCTCCCTTCCTCCCTCCCTCCCTCTCCTTCTCTCTCTGTGTAACTGACTTTCAAGTAAAATAAATAAATCTTTTAAAAAATATAATAAAGGATGAATTAGGAAAAAGAAAATTAAAAAGGCCACGAAGAGTACAAACCGAATCTGTCTTCTGTTGTTAGATTCAGCAGAATGCAGTTACTCTCACTTTCCGTTTCTGACGTTAGCGCCACGTGAGCTCCTCCCACTCAGAGGCCACTGTGGGTCTCGCTGTGCCTGGTGTCAGTGGAGGATGTAAATGCTGGCCACAGAGGTCGGTGGGGTGCCAGTTCCCTGAGCTCTGCTCAGAGTGATAGATACTCACAAGGTAAAAGCCAGGTAATGGTCCCCGGAGGGGCAATTTCTGTCTGCAGAATAAAATTCAATTAGGATTTCTTAGCAAGTCACTCAATAGAATTCAAAGTGTGTTCACCTGGTGGCAGGCAGCACTGAAGCAGAGCGGGCTTGGCCTTGTGTGGCCCTTGTGGCACGCCACACCACCTCTTTGCAGATTTCAGTACACTGCTGTGTATGCCCACACTGCGTGTGCACCTGCTCAGCCCGAGTTCATCTTTTGGCCCTAGGTGGTGTCGCCGGCGAGGGTGTGTGGAGCCGCTGCCGCGTCGCCCTCGGTGAGGAGCCTCCGCCTGCTTGTTGCCGATCGAGAGTTCTCCTTTAAAGCCGGCCAGTGGTAAGTGCTTTCCTTGTGGCAGCTGCGTCTGTGTCAGAGGTGCTCAGGGAGAAGGGGTTCCACCTTCTGGGAGAGACTCCAGCGGCTGGCTGGTCCTTCGAGGGCAGAGGAAGTTCAGGTCGTTCTCTGCCGGGTGAGCCTTTTCTGGCATGGCGAATCCATTCCCTTCCAGCCTCAGAGCCCACTCTGGTTTCCAGCTTGGGGCCCTGTGAGTCAGACAGGAACATTGTGTTGCGTTTGGCAGATTCAAGCAGAGCGGCTGGTTCTGGCCCCTGGAACTGACGGCCCTGAGGAGTACGTTCTGCGGGAGTGGCTGCTGACAGACCACACTGTGGTCCTCGGGTCTGCCCGAGCTACTTGTTGCCGGGCGTTCCTGTCTTTCTGAAAATCAGGCTCCGTCACGTCCGGCACACAACAAACAAAGCAGACCGAAAAACAGCGTGTGCTGTCACGTCGTTACGTCCCTGCCAATGAACTCCTCTTCACTTGCTTGGACTTTTCTGGGCCAGCTTTAGACATTTGCTGGGTTAACCATCAGGACCCCTCTGCGGTCTGCACCAGGGCAGATTGTAGGTCTAGCCCCCTGGACTCAGGATGATCAGTGTGCTGGCAGGGCCTGGGTGGCCCCACTGAGCTGCCATTCAAGTGCGATTGTGAATAAACCAGCTCCCGTTTCCATTTCCCTAGGAAAGGTGTGTTTGGGTGTGTGTGTCCTTTATTTAAACAAAGCATTCATTGCTAAATGAATTTCTGGCATGCCAGTCTTGACAGTGTTCTTAGGAGTCGCCTGACTAATTTTGGCAGTCCATCTGGAAATGCGGTTTTGTTAAAAGGAGGATGTGTGATAATAGCAAGTGCGATAATAGCAAGAGTTAGCAGTCTTGTGTTAATAGTTTGCCTTTGAATTTAGAACTAGAAAACAAGATGCTGATTGCAATAATTTGCGTTTGTGAAGCAATTTACTGTAATCTTTGCACATGTTCTGTGATACATATTAAACACACTTTGGCTGTTTTAGGGGGTGGGCAACATATTTACCCTTCAAAATGGCTTAGTAGTTATTCCATTGAAAGTGGGAGCTTTAATTGTAGAGATCTGTCTTTCCTTACTTCCCTTCTGCGGAAGTGTTCATGTCCTTGTCTGTGCCTTACGCTCGGGATCTTGCTGAGGCTCGGGCCCAGGCTCTGGCTAGGGATAGCCCCGTGCCCTGGTTACAGGGCTGCCACCATGGTGTGCCTGCAAGTGTATTCCTCCCCCAGACTGCAGGTGTCTGATAAGAAAAATGCCATCAGTCCCCAGTGACACAAATTTCGTGTATACAGAAGTGGGGTTCTTTGTGAATCTCGAGGTAAAATTGTCTGGAGGCACACATGCCATCCCAGTGAAGGGTCTGGTCATTTCATGCTAGGGCTGCTTTTAGTATGCACCTGCTAGACCCCCACTGTAGAAGGTAGGTGGTCGTCGCTGGCCAGCTGACAGCTACACGGTCCCGGCCAGGTGTCAGTCAGCGCTCAGCCTGGTACCTGAAACTCTACCCCCTACCCCACCCCTTTAAAAACTGTGGCCCTCCTGTTGCCTGTTTATGGCTTTCAGTGATGTAAGTTCCTTTTGATGTGTGACCTTATGGTTACAGAAGAACCTCTTGGCTTAGGTTGACCGTGTGCAACCCCTCCATGCTGCTGCTGAGAAGGCTTTGTCCTCTAGGCTTGGGACTCAGCTCCATGTGGCGTTTTGGAGAAGAGGGCAAGGATGAAGGAGAGAGGGAGGGGACAAGAGGTGGCAGCTGGAGAGCAGGAGAGGACCCCGGCATGCTTTTCCTTGGGGTAGGGACGGCCGTGCCTCCCCTTCTCTGAATACTGGCCAGCAGCATCTTCTGGTGCCTGCCGTACCCTGAGGATGAGGAGCCAGGTGCAGCTTGAAGTAGATACATGGGTTCTCTCTACAGGCGGCCGGAGCTCTGGCCACAGGTCCCCAGGGAGACGCCTTCAGCACAGACCTGGGATGGGCCCTGGAGCCCTTTCTGCACAGCCCTGGCCTCTTAGTGGTCTCTTCAGGGGAGACTGGTTCCCGTCCTGGGAAGCTAGATCCAAGAACTTGAGCCGTGCAGCCCAGAGGCAAGGCCAAGAGAAGAAACCACCTCCGGAACAGTTCTCCCTCAGGCTGACCACCTGCTTAGCCACTAGCTTCTTGTGAGTGCTGCCCTGGACCCTGGGCAGTGCCTCCTCCAGGGTGGAACCGTTGGCACTCCCCTCAGAGTAGCGGCTCTGGAGCGTGCCACCAGCAGTCATGCGGCGTGCGCTGCCCTGGGGTTCCAGCTTTGTTCTCCTGCGGCACTCGCTGCCTGTCTCCCATGTTAGCTGCTCTGCTGCAGTGGGGTCTTTCCCCGGAGGGAGGCCTTGTCGCCCGGCGCCCTGGAGACTGCTCGGCCATGCTGGCCTTCTAGCTGCTAGCTCTGTGCTGTGGCCACTTTCCTCCCTTCTGTTGGCCTCAGCTTCCATGTCTTTCAAGAGAGAGCAGTAGCCCTGTGCTTGGGGATACTTGAAGTGTGGGGCACAATGCCTGATGTCAACTTTCTTAACTAGTGTTTGTTTCTCATCATTGCTGGTGTCTCACTCAGTCGGTGAGGTCATCTGTGCTGGTGAGACCCAGCAGACAGACCCCAGTGCTGGGGTTCTGGGTCAGGCCCTGCAGTGGTTGGAAGAGCAGCAGATGAAGTAGGAGGGAGTGAGTGTGCATCGCCTCTGCCACTGTCAATGCCACCAGCACACACATGGGATGCCCCCGAGGGCAGTGAGGCCAAGGCATTTTTCTAGATGAAAGGGGATTCTTGCTCCTGGAATGTTTCTGACTTTGAACAACATCATCATTTTTCTTTTAGATTTGTTTGGGAGGGAGAGCCCCCATCCCTTGGTTCACCCCTCAGATGCCCACAATGGCCAGGACTGGGCCTGGGTTGGGAGCTGGGAGTTCATTCCAGATCTCTCATGTGGGTGGCAGGAACCCCACTATTTGAACCATCAACTCCTGCCTTCCAGAGTGTGCATTAGCAGGAAGCTGGAATCAGGAACCAGAGCCAAGTCTTGAAGCCAAGCATTCAGATACAGGAGATGGCGTCTTAATAAGTGGCCTAGGCCAAATGCCCATCCTAGGATAACTTAAATTTTTGTCTCAGGAAGCAACGGGAGGCCCTCCTGAGAGAGGGAAGGTACTAAGAAACAGCAGATTAGAGGAGCAAGATTAAGGAGAGAAATCTGTACTGATACTCTGGAGGGGACGGCTGTGTCCTACCCGGTTCACACCCGTGTGATGGTGTAGCAGCTCTGGAGGGGACGGCTGTGTCCTACCCGGTTCACACCCATGTGACAGTGTGGCAGCTCTGGAGGGGACGGCTATGTCCTAGCCGGTTCACACCCATGTGACCGTGTAACAGCTCTGGAGGGGACGGCTGTGTCCTACTTTAGTTCACACCCATGTGACAGTGTAGCAGCTCTGGAGGGGACGACTGTGTCCTACTTGGTTCACACCCGTGTGACAGTGTGGCAGCTGTGGAGAGGGCGGCTGTGTCCTACCTGGTTCACACCCGTGTGACAGTGTGGCAGCTGTGGAGAGGACGGCTGTGTCCTACTTGGTTCACACCCGTGTGAAGGTGTGGCAGCTGTGGAGAGGACGGCTGTGTCTACCTGGTTCACACCCGTGTGACAGTGTGGCAGCTGTGGAGAGGACGGCTGTGTCCTACCTGGTTCACACCCGTGTGAAGGTGTGGCAGCTGTGGAGGGGACGGCTGTGTCCTGCCCGGTTCACACCCGTGTGAAGGTGTGGCAGCTGTGGAGAGGATGGCTGTGTCCTACCCGGTTCACACCCATGTGTGGCTCACATGAGCACGTGTAGGAAATGTCGAGTGCTCTGCATCTTTGTGCAGTCCATGTCTGTGCGCACTCTGTGTCTTTAAGACTCGGATTAAGTAGCATCTCCTCCGTCCTCCCTCCTTAGTCCTCCGCTCCTGATCTAATGGAGGATTCCTGCTTCTGCCCAGCTCTCCAGTACCCCAAGCAGATTCCCTCATAGCCCCTCGAATTGTATTTCTTTGTCACTTTCCTCCCAGTGGCGTGGGCTTACTGAGGGGTAGACAGGTGCTGTGGCAGCATCTGCACGAGTGAAGGAGCGAGGGGCTCAGCACTGCGGCAGAGGGTGGAGAGCTTCGGCAGCTCACCGTGAGGCATCATCGCTTGGCCACGGTTTGCATGCCCGCTGCGTGCTGGCCCTGGACAGTGCTGCCTGGTGTTCAGAGTGTGTTGCTCTGCTGCACACCCAGCCGCCTCTTCTCAGTTCTGTGTGGACTCAGCTGGCTTCAGGAGTGCCAGTCTTGCAAAGGTCATTTTTAAAGTTGTGTGCTTAAAGCTTAATTCTGTCTTGGACAGAAGTTTTAAAACTTTGTTTTTTTTTAAAGATTTATTTATTTGAAAGTCAGAGTTACAGAGAAAGGTAGAGATAGAGAGGTCGTCCATCCACTGGTTCACTCCCCAGATGGCTGCAATGCCCGGAGCTATGCCGATCCAAAGCCAGGAGCCAGGAATTTCCTCCGGGTCTCCCACTTGGGTGCAGGGGCCCAAGGACTTGGGCCATCTTCTGCTGCTTTCCCAGGCCACAGCAGAGAGCTGGATCAGAAGAGCAGCCCAGGACTAGAACTGGCGCCCATATGGGATGCTGGTGCTTCAGGCCAGGGCATTAACCCGCTGCACCAGAGCACCGGCCCCAAATTTTTAAAACTTTTAATTCACTTATTTTCATTTTTTTTAATTTGAGAGGCAGGAGAGAGTCAGACAGACTGACACATCTTTCATGTGCTGTTTCCCCCCACCAAATACCTACAACAGCCAGCGCTGCGCCAGGCTACAGCCAGGAGCCCAGATCTCAATCCACGTCTCCCATGTGGTTTTTAGGGTCCAAAAGTACTTGAGCATTATCTGCTGTCTTCCCAGCTGCACATTAGCAGGAAGCTG